GATAAAGCCATGCATACTGTTCTCGATGCCTATCATACGACTTGGATGCAACATGGCCCTGCTAAAATCTTATACTCCGATGGGGAAGGAGCACTGAATAATGATACAGCAAAGGCCATCCTTAAGGCTAAGGGAACAGAGCTTCGTATCCGAGCGCGTGGCCAACACGCCACAACTATCGAAGCTAGGAACGGCATCCTGCGACACCTCTTACACGTGATGGGAGAAGAATTGAATAGATTAAATATTCCTCTCAATTTCACTCGTCTCTTACATGAAGCCTTGTTTGCCAGCAACGCATTTACCTTCTACAATGAAGTGTCTCCGTACAATGCGCTGTATGGCAGACAACCAGCTATGCTTCCCGATTTCCCTGTCTTGGATCATGATCAGTCCGCTGAATCATCAGATCACTCAAGGGAGGAAACAATCAGGAGGGTTAGTCTGGAGGCAATCACGCAGGCCACTGCGGTTGCCAAGACAAACAGGGCTCTCCGTACGAAGACTACTGCTACGGGTGAATTTCACTACAAAGAGGGAGATCTCGTGGACTATCATCGCCCGACCACCACGAAAGACGACTGGGGTGGATGGAGTGGTCCATACCCGGTCATCCGCAACGAACCTGACCGAGGCCAGGTCATCGTGAAGGTCGGCAGTCGCGAGGTGCGAGTACAGTATCCTGACACACGACACACGCTGTACATCGAAGCACTTATGGTCCGCGAGATAGGATCGGACAATACGGCCCTTCGGACAGTATTGGCCTTTATTGCCGGTCTGCCAGCGGGGAAACCCGCCATGACTTTCGGATATCTACCAGCGAAACAGGGTCGGCTGCAGATGACTGCTGCGAGCCGACTTTCGCCTAAGGTGCACTTGGCTCTTCAGTACCTCATACGCAACTACTTTCGTATTGAAAACGTTGTTGCTGTACGACTTGCCAAGAGCCTGACGAAGTTGCCTGCTGCACCCTATGCAGACAGCTGTACACTAGTGCACTATGATAATGATGTGACCCCTGGTTTTCATTACTATGAAGCTGATGGCACTGCCTTGAACATCTATGACATCACAGGATCTACACACTCACGCATCATCCAGTGTCTTAAATCCAGGAAGTCGTCTGCTGGATTTGACCGAGACCTCACTAAGTTTGAGGAACTCGCTGATGGTCCACCACCAAGCGAGTCACCTCCAGCAGCTGCTCCTGAGGAGCCTCCTACGGATAACGATGGTCGGCTCCCGACCATCATAGAGGAAACAGAAGAAGATCTGGATGCTTTTGTCTTGAAGTCGTGGTATGCTGAACTGATGGATGACAGAACACTCCTTGAAGCTGACACAGAGGAAGTCATGCATACAGTTCCCACATACATGACAGACACACAGTGTGTGTTAGTCTCTACGACCTGTGAAGATGTGCAAGGCCACTTGCCGGAGCGGGGTCACCCGCCAGGATACGACATGGACACTTCTTACTACGTTCCTTTATGCTCCACGGATCCGGACAGTAAATATGATCTGGACTCCGATGAGCACGGGAAGTACATCGAGCTCTGCTTCACAGCAGACATGTCCAAAGTCGTCCTGTCCGAGCAGCAACGCCGATTGTTGGATGACAGCAGCGTCACAACTATGCGAGTATACGTTAGTGCTGCTTCCAAACGTGCCGTGGTCGTCAAGGAAGACGATCTACTCACGAAGGCCGACATCCAAGCAAATCCGGTCAAAGTTTCCAAAGCCCTTTACACAGAATTGAAGACTTGGCTTGACAACAAATGCTTCCAGATGACTGACTTGAGCAAAGCGTCTAACATCATGACGTCACGCTACGTATACAAATGGAAGTTTGTCAAGAACGAAAAGGGCGACATGGAAAGGACGATCAGGTTACGCTTGGTACTCCGTGGCTTTATGGACCTTGAAGCCTTTGATGTCGAAACCTTCTCTGGCACGGCAAGGAGGTCAAGCCAGAGACTGCTCGCAAGTTCTGCTGCATGCAACAAAGCTTGGATCATCGCTTCCCTGGACATCAACATGGCTTTCTTGAAGGGACTGACCTATGGCGAGCTCGCCGCGGCAACGGGCGAGAAAGAGCGTGTGGTGTGCTTCACACTACCACCTGGGTCAGCAGCTGTCCTTCGCACGCTGCCAGGCTTTGAGTCATATGACGAATCAAAGCATTGTCTTCGGTGTCTGAAGCCGGGGACGGGCACGAAGGATGCTCCCAGGGCATTCTCGCTGAAGCTCAGGTCCATCACTAGGAGCTTTGGGCTACAGCCTACTTCATACGACGAAGAGTTCGAGAATGAGCTCAAACCTCTTGACAGCCAAGCACGTTGATGACATCAATATGACTGGGAAGGAAGAGGCTATTGACAAGTATGTCAAGTGTGTTGAAGATACGTTTGGGAAGTGCAAACTGAACAAGCACACATACACAAATTGTGCCGTTCGGTATAACAAGACCGATGATGGGAGCGTCACTCTTGATCAGGACGAATACATCAAACAGCTTCGTCCTATCACACATCCAGAACTCACAGGAGCTGATCCTGAGAGCAAAGCGACAAAGACGATTTCTGATATGTTCGTCAGTCTTCGTGGCGCTCTAGCCTATGCGTTGATCACGCAGGTATGGCTGATGGTCTATGTTGTCTCACTACAACGTATCCAGGAACCGACAAACATCCAGGTACGACGACTAAACGCGGTTACCAGAAAACTACAGGCAGGTCCGAAGAAGATCGTGTATCAAGCTATGACCCCAACAGGAGAAGTCGACCTGCATAGCGATTCTGGCTATCGTCGTCTCAACGGAGATGAAGACGACGAAGTCAAAGGCTATGGTATCCGCGGGGCTAACCTGCTGAGGCGTGGCCACACGCAAGCGGGGAAACCCGTCGTGCACCTGGTGGACGCATACTGCAAGTCTCATCGACTGCAGGTGCGTTCGAGCTACTCTGCGGAAACACTGGCAGCAGCCCACAACTTGGAAGACTGCTACCCGACCATTGTAACGCTCCACGAGCTACACTCGGGACCATTGACCCCCACACAGTTAAAGAACATATTGGAAATGGGTGGTCTATGTATCAAAGTCACTCTGACTATTGATGCCGAGTCTGTCTTCAAGTCTTTGTCTAGCAAAGATCTGAAGAAGCCCACAGAATGTACTCTGCTTGGGCACATTAGCTGGATCCGCCAGATGATGGAGCGCGGAATCGTTGAAAGCGTTCAATGGTGTGACACGCGGGATATGACTGCCGATGGTCATACCAAAGGTAGTATTGACCGCGCGTTGCTCCTACAAGTAATGGCCGGCCAGCAATCCTTCAAGCACGAGCTGAAGAAACATACACCGTATAGGGCGGGCAGGTCGTCTCAGGACGGCCCTGCCTCCCGAGCTAGCGGGGAAACCCGCGGGCAGGTGCGCTTTAATAGCGAGGAAACTCGCCGGTAGCGAGGCTACTCGCGCGCCCTTTCCTTGTAGGCAGCCGCTGCTGCTTAGCACTGTTTTTCCGCATAATGTAGAAGTGCGGTGCCTGCTCGTCTCCTCCCCCTCCGACTTTAAACGGAGAAGGTTAAAGGCGAGGTATAAATCGAGCATGTACCGCTGCCGTGCCTGGCTCAAGCCGGGCCCGGCCAAATATGTGATTGTGCCTCACCGAGGCGCGCGACTTGCATCAGAGATCGGAAAATACCTTTTCCATTGACGATGCCCATCCTATCCTTTACTCCAGATCCCATGCTTCGTCTTGCTCTCTTGCTCATGCGATATGAGCCAAAGCCTGGGATATGGCAACGCTTAAAGCGTAACACATACCTAAGCTTACCAGCTTGTTTTCGACTCTGGACAGTGCTTTTTGGGCAGGTTCTTGACGCTTGTTGCAAGTCTGTAGGGGCCCCGTTGGGAGTCTACCGAAAGGAGAGCACATTGTAGCATCGCTTGCACTTGCTTGCGTGCTCGGGGGGGGCATTTGGGGGGTCTCCTGAGGCCGCTTGGGGGACTCTTGGGGGCCTCCTGAGGGCCTCGTGGGGGCCTCTTGGGGCCTCTTAGGGGCCTCTTGGGGCCTCGTGGGCTTCTTAGGGCCGAGGGCTCGAAATGTTGTTTCGTGTTCCCTCTCTGGGGCCCCTTTGGGGGCGTTCTTGGGGCCCTTTTGGACCGTCTTGGAGGCTTCTTGCGTCTTCGAGCCCTCTTGGGCCATCTTGGGGCCCTCTTGGGGGCCTCTTGGGCCCTCTTGGGGCGATCTTGGGGGCCTCTTGGGCCGTCTTGGGGCGTCGGGAAGACGAAAAGGTGGAAGCTCCAGAATCTTTCAAAAACCTAAGGAAAAGCAATGAATGTTGCCTCCCGGGGCCCTCTTGGGAGTGCTTTTGGAGGCCTCTTGGGGCGTCTGGGGGCTATCTTGGGCGTCTTGGAGCGATCTTGTGGCATGTCGGACCCCTCGTGTACCATCTTGGGGGCCTCTTGGGGGCCTCTTGGCCTTTCTTGGGGCTCTCGGGGACGTCTCGGAGCCCTGTTGGTGCGCTCATGGAGCGCTCTGGTGGAGTCGCCCGGGGATCAGCCGGGACTCGCCCGGGGTACTTTTCGTCCGGGGACCCCCAGGGGCCGCCCCGCGCGCGCGAACTAGAGAATTGTTAACCAGTTACCGGAGATCTTAGCACGCCTCTGGCCCGTTGGGCCGGCGAATTTCTATGTGGCTCCCCGCTTGTTTCATAGGTCCTATGTTCCCAGATGTGCCACTAGTCGCATTTACAAGTTCATTTCTTAGCGCGCGGAGTCGATGACTGCGCATCGCGGCCTTGACCGTAGAGTCATCCTCCGTCCCGGGGCCGGCCTTGAAGGGACGCGAACTTAATCCCGCGCAAGCCGCGGAGCGTGAAGATGGGCGACTTGGCATGACTCCGACTCGATGCGGGACGATCTGGTGGCGATCCGACCCGTTTCCGATCCGATCTCGCGGTTCGATCTGGCTCAGACCGGTGCCCCGGCCGAGGCCACCGCTCGCCCGAGAGCATCCCGAGGGAGGCGCCGCGCTGGGCCTCGCGGGTTTCGGGCGGCGGCTGGCTGGCCGCGTGCGTTTGCCCCCGCTGGCGGTCGGGGGCCCAATGGGGGGCCGAGGGGGGGTGGGCGAGGTGCCGGGAGGGAGGGGGGGGGGAGGGTCTGCGTTTACCCCCGCTGGCGGTCGGGGGCCCAAGGGGGGGCCGAGGGTGGGTGGGCGAGGTGCTGGAGCTGTGGAAGTCGATTAATGGAGAGGAAGCATGCTGCCAAGTAATTCCCAGATGTTTTCAAACATGTTTGAAACATGAAAAAACACGTTTGAACCATTTTCAGGACATGTCTTAATTACACATTTCGAACACAACTTTAATTGAATGATTTGATTGTTAGAGTGTCCATTGTCATGGCATCCACAATGCTGGAGGGGTGGGGGGAAGGGGAGGGTCCGTGCCGATTCGACCGATCCGATTCGATTCCGATGCCCTGACGATCTGATGCCGAGCACGACGCTTGCATGTGGCATGCTGGCGCGGCCGATCCCACTCGATCTCGATTCCGTGCCTGTGCGGCCCTGTCCGACGCACGTTCATGTCCGATCCAATCCGAGGTCCCGATGAGATGCTGGCCGGGCCCTGGGAGAGGGGGGTCATCGGGGGCAACGATAGGGGGGATAGGCATAGGGGGGATGCATCGACCCCCAATCGCCTATTGATCGCCGATAGAAGCCCGATAGCCCCAACCTGCCCAGGAAGGTGCGGATTCACTATCGGCGATGTATCGCCGATGTATCGGCGATCTATCGGCGATGTATCGCCGATTCCAGGTTGATGCAGCTCCCCCTATGCTAGTCCCCCCAGAGCAACACAACGAAACCAGCGCGACCCCAATTAGGGGCACGCGTCCTAAGCGGTTTCATGTGGCATTCCTTGGCATTGCGTTGTTTGGCATTGCAGGGCATGGCCTTGCATGGCATTTCTGGACATGAAGTGGCTCTGCTTGACGTTTTTGGAGACTGGAGCGCATCAAAAAGACGTACGTGTACGTGAACGTTCGTGAGTCTTGCTTGAGAGTGTGCGCTGCCCGAGCGTGAGTAATTCGAAGGTGGCATCGCAGAATGCGGGACCGTGCTGGTGAACATGGCTGGGCGCGGGCTTCGTTTGTGGGATCCCTGGCTGGGGCGGCGGGGTGGGGGGGTTCGGTCGCAAAAAAATGAGGGCCTCGTGCGCCCTCTTAATTCCGCTGTTAGACTAGGTTCGTATCGACTAGCGTCTGGTATTTGATGGTCTAGCGCCGATTTAGCGTCGACTAGCGTCGACTGGCGTCGATTAGCGTCGATCCGCAAGAGCCAACAAGATGGTATGGTCGGATCCGAAGAGTTGCCACCGAAGGTGGGGGACTGGCGGGGGGGAGGTCGAGGGACCGGGGGGAAGCAGCGGGGACGGAAGGGGGGCCGCAGGATAACGGCGGGGGGGCTGGAGGAGGAGGAGGAGGAGGAGGAGGAGGAGGAGGAGGAGGAGGAGGAGGAGGAGGAGGAGGAGGAGGAGGAGGAGGAGGAGGGGAGGGCGGGGGGGAGCCCAGGGGGGAAGTGAGATGGGGCGGGCCTTCTCAGATGGTTCGGAAGGCCTCGGGCCGTTTGAAAGATGTTTTATGCTTTCTCCGAAGGCACAGATGGCTTCTGAGAAGCCCCGTCGCCTTCTCAGATGGCCGGAGGGTTCCTGAGAAGCCCCGTCGCCTTCTGAGAAGGCCTGCTCCCTCTCGCTTCCCCCTTGGTCGCGCCGCTGAGGGGAGGGGCGGGGGGGGGGATGAGGGAGCAGGGTGGGAAGGGAGGAAGAAGGAATTGAGTGCGAGGGGGGGTTGGGGCAAGCAGCGGGGGGGGTTTTATTGGTTGTGGTTGCCGGCGTTGCGATGGTTTGAGGTAGAAACTATGCACTGAGTACGACGGCTTTCAAGCGTGGAAACGGGAAACGTTTGGATGCCTCTTCTAATCATATGCCTCTGCTAAGCAACATTCGGTCAAAGCTTCTAGCCCTGGCAACATGGATCAGTCTAATCGAGCGGATCGATGGAGTCCAAGCAATAAGCGCGTCCACCGAGGTAAAGATGGGAGGAGGGCTCACTTGAAGGAGGCGATCCAGGGCTCTGCCGCAACCAGGCCGCAGAGAGTGAACCATCTCGTGCGGACGTCTTGGAAGTGGAACAATGAGTGTACTCTGTGAGGGCCCTTTCCGAGGCGTCCCGACTGCGAGAGCACGAACACATTTTGCCGCATGGGAGAGGGAAGATAGAGAAGGGAGGACGGAGGAATCGATGAAGGAAGAGGCGGAGGGACAGCGCGGGGCTTCTGCTCCTCCCTCGACGCGGACACTGGAGGAGGACGTCGCACAGTTGTCCTGGACGAAGGGGCGGTCCCAGCGGGGTGGGGGCCGAGAGATCCAGGGGCCATCACCATGAACAACATGGTACTCGGATGTGTGGGTCCCCTCTGCCGCCTCCCGCAGCCGCACGAGGGGCACCCCAACAGTACAGTGCCTGGCCGTCCAGGATCCAATCTGATCGACCACGTCACCGTATCGCGTCCTGTTGTTGCGACCGGGCTCAGCTCGACACACTTTCCAGGTGCATGCAATACCTCCCCCCCCCCGGCGTGCGCGTGGCGCACGCATCGCGACTACAGTCCAGGCTCGATTCGATTGCACGTTCGGGGTAACGTGAGACTCTTGTTTGCTGGACCTCGGGTTTGCCGCCGCTTTTTTCACAGTCCTGGCATCATGTTTGACGGACCAGTTTTCGTGAGACGTTCGCAGACGTCTGACGGCCCCCGTCTGTCCAGCTGGAGTCCCTAAACCTCGAGTCCTGCGTCTTTCCGGTAGTCTCGGCCTCGCATCGCAAGCATCTACAGGACGACGGCGCTTGATGACGACGACGGCGCCCGGCGCCTGGCGCCCGACGCTCGATGATGAAAACGAAGACGACGACGATGACGACGACGACGATGACGATGACGACGACGACCTCTGTCCACGAAGCCTTCCTCAAGGAGGCCCCTTCCCCTGTGGAAGCGCATCCATTCTCGATGCCCCTCTGATCGCGAGCACCCCCGCCTCGAGCAAGCAGGCGCGCGTGGCGTGCCGTCGGCTGGCAGGCGCGCGCTCGGCTGGCGTGGCCGCGCGGTCAGCTGGTGGCCGCGCGAAGACACTCTTCGTTCAGAAGAGGGGATTCGGTTGCAACTCGTCAGAAGATGAAGAGATACCCATACCGCTACCCCTGCCTCGTTTTCCCCTTTGTGGGGCCTCCCGGGAGGCCCTCGTCGCCACCACTGGATTCAGTCCGAAATCTTGGTCAAAACGCACCCTGGGAGAGGCCAGGGGAGTAGCGGTATCGGAACCTTTTGGTTCCCCCATTGCTCGTGCAGAGGGGACTCGTTCGATAGCAAATCACGGGAGCCTTGTATATCCTTGAATTTCCGTCTTCAGAGTGCATCAGCGTGCGCCAGCGCCTGGTAATCGATAGAGAGAGAGATAAAGAAAAACAGAAAAAAAAACAAGACAGAATAACACATGAGAGAGAGAAAGAGAGAGCGCCGATGCAGCGCCGATCTGGTGCCGACTTGGCCCCGAGCCGCGTCGAGTCATCATTCGTAGATTCTGCGTCGACCGGTGTCCATCCGCAAGAGCCAACAAGACGACACGGTCAGGGTGAGGCTCCCATGAGTTGCCGCAGACGCCTCGAGAGGCCAGGTGCGGCCCGCCGCCGCCGCGACTGGCCGCCGCCGCTCGCCCGCCGACCGTGCCGCGCGCCCGCCGGCGCGGGCGTGGTGCCGCCCGGCTTGCGCGAGCTCTGCGCCGCCGACGCGCGTCCGCGGCGGCGGCGGCCCTCGCGCGAAAGCCGGGCCGCGGGGGCGGCGGCGGCCGCTCCGAGGAGGACCCCAAAGGGTTGGCATCGCTCGGATGTGTGCATGATTCCTTCGGCGAAGACCATCTAGGAGCATCCTCGATCATTTGGCGAACCGCACGAAACTGAAAAAGGCACAGGGAAGGGACGTCCGAGCGATGGCCAGAAGGGGTGGCGTTCGTTAGCAACTCATGTGAGCCTTGTGCGTCCTCGAAGGTCCAGTTTTCGGGTCCACCAGCGTGCCCTGCGTCGTGGGATCATTGAGACAGCGCCGATCTGCGTCGATCAGCGCTGCTTTGTCAGCGTCGATTTGCAGGAGCTAGCAAGATGTCATAGGAGATTCCCATGAGTTGCCACCGCAGTAGGCAAGTCAAATAAGAAGCCGTCCTGTCAACAGGCGCCAAACGGAAGTTCATTTCGGTCGGGAAATTTGGCTTCGCGAGTCGCCCCGCCAGTTCTGGCCCACCACGCTTCGGCGCTACATGCTATCCATTTTTCAGTCACCACGTTTCAACGTTTCGAGTTTTCACGCCTTCGCCCCGCGGAGCGGATCGAGACGCTATCCGTTCGTAAGGCATAGCGTGTAAGCAAAAGTGCCCGACCGTATCCCTTGATAGCAATGGGGCCCAGAGAAGCTCTGGAGCATCTCGGAGCCCGAGGACAAACGTGCCCATACATTTCTTGTACTTGCCAAGATTTCCGATCGCACGTGTATGCTAGATGCCCGTGTCGTGGGCTTCGCTGGCTTGGGGGGGGCTGGGCTGGCCAAGGGCGTCGAAGCGGTTTGGTGGCCTCAGCACAAGCGGTCTCCTGCGGCCCGATCTGCGGCTTTTGAACTCCGCGCTGGCCAAGCGGCTGCCGATCGGTCACACCCGTCAAGGGCCGGGGCTTCCCAGGGGAGGGGGTGCAGAGAGCGGGGGGGTCCGTGGCAAGCGTGGCACCGGAGCGGTTCCCCGGCTGCCCCAGCCCACGTGCCTTTGCCACTCCCGGTTCTTGGACGGGCGTGACGTCGGCGGCCAGCCCCTCGTTGCGGATGCTGGCCGCAGCTCGGGACAAGAGAGGCCCTCTCGGAGCGGCGCCGAGGCCGCCCCGAGACCCAGGGGAGAGACTTCCCCTGACAGGGCGGATGGAGGAGGAGGAGGAGGAGGAGGAGGAGGAGGAGGAGGACGAGGAGGAGGAGGAGGAGGAGAAGGAGGAGGAGGAGGAGGAAAGAAGAAGAGGAGGAGGACTAGGTTCGCTGCCCATATGGGGGAGAGGCCCCCGGCCGGGTGCAGCGGACAGCGCAGTCCTGGCCCTCCCCGAGCCAGCGAGGACGTGCCGGATGGCCGATGATGGCAGCGGGCCGCCGCCCACCCTGGCCCCCTCCACTCAAGCAGTGGCGAAGCGTCCTGGCTCGCCCATAACCCTACCAAGCAATGTTCTAAGAACCTTTTTGTGGTTTCCGCGGAATGTTCTTAGAAGCTTTCTGGCGGAGTCTGTTTTGTTTGTATCACATCGGGCTCATGTTCTATGAAAATTGTGTTCGTTATTGGAACATTCGTGGGTTATAGGAACATTTCGTTGTAGGACTATAGGAATGCCGGGACGGTCGGTCCCTGCTCAATCCTCTTTCATGTTCGACCACTCGGCAGTGTCAGCCGCCTTGGCTGCCCAGCTCGAGGTCTGGGACAGCGTGGTTCCCCGCCGCTTGGCCAGCCGCCCTGGCGTGCCTGCCACCTGGGACGGGAGGGCCTTCTGCCGCTTGGCTGGCCAGTCTGACCTCAGGGAGACAGACGGAGGCCTTCCGTCAGCGACGAGGGCTCCAAAGCAGCGGCATTGGCATAATGGACGGCGTCATCCTCGTCCTCGACATCGTCCTCGTCCTCCTCCCCCCTCCCTACATCCCTCCCTGCCCCCTCCCTCCCTCAATCCCGCCTCCTCCTCCTTCTTCCCTCCCTTATCCCTCCTCCTCCACCTCCTCCTCCTCCTTCTCCTCCTCGTCCTCCTCCTCCTCTTCCTCCCTCCCCTTCTTGTCGTCCCGAGCCCGCTGGCGAGGGAGGCAGGCTCGCAGGACGTTGGCCGCCGACCCCCGCAGAGCCCGCAGAGGCCTCGGGGCCCCCGTGGCGGCGGGAGAGGCGCCACGCGAGCGGGCGGCGTCGCGGGCTCGTCGGCCGACCCCCATCGCGGCCCTAGCTGCCCCGATACGCAGTGCCGAAACGCCGCACGCACCGTGTTCATCACGCCCCTCGCGCACGCGTTGGCCCGCATGTTGGCGAGCATCTGCGCGAGAGACGTGCTGGACACATGCACATGCTCAGCACCTCTCGCGCAAGACCTGCGCCATCGATCCACGTGCGGAGCTCCGTGTCGCCACGCTCCGGGCTGCGTGCTGCGGCGTGTCGGGGCGGCCACGCCTGGCGGCACGGCGTCGGCGCCGGGGAGGCGGCGCCCCCGCACCCGTCGGCGGGGCGGCGCTCCGCGGGCGGCGGCGGCAGGCGCGTCGGCCGCGCGGTCCTCGCGCGGGGGGGGGCCTCCGCGGCACGGGGCGGCGGGCGGCGCCCTCGCCGCGGGGGGCCCTCGGCGGGCGCGGCGGCGGCGCCGCGCGGCGCGCGGCGTTTTGCGCGCGGCGGCGGCGGCGCGGTGCGGCGCCGTCGCCGCGCGGGCACCGCCAGGCGCCTCGCTGGGGCTGGCTGCCAGCGCTATGCCGGGACGCAGGCCGCGTGCGGGTGGGGCCTTTCTCCTCCTCCTCCTCCTCCTCCTCCTCCTCCTCCTCCTCCTCCTCCTTCTGTGTTCGTCGGAACTCAACCCACGTAATTCCCATGATGGTCAGGGAAAGCTGGCCTCATATTGTGATCCGACCTAGGCGCAGAGCGCAACGCATCTGTCGCGGCTGCGAGTTAGTGTGCCCTTTCGCCAGAGTGACGTGTAGTGCGCGTCCACAGGGGTTCCCCCAGTACTGGCCTGCACGCTTGGAGTTGGCGTCCCCGCGGCCCTGTAAAGCCGCGCACCAGAGGTCCCTCTTGCCTATGGTCATTCTTGCGTGCAGCCGACGTTCTCCTCCTCCTCCTTCTTCTTCTTCTTCTTCTCCTTCCCCTCCTCCCACTGCCCCCCTGGAGGCCACCCCACGGAGGATGCAGAAGGCCCCACCACGGAGGTCCAGGGATGCCTCCTCTCGGCCAAGGGCAGAAGCCCAAAGTGGCCAAAGCTCGGAGAGAGGAGATTGCCGAGCTTTTCTGATCAATGGTGTTGGGGGGGCGTGCCACGGCACCTGGGGTGATCGTCACCACTCCAGGGTGCAACAAAAAGGCGCTCCCGCTTCTCATCCGATAGCCCCCCCACTTCGGCATGTCAACCATTACCGCCACCCCTCGCATGGTTCGTGGCCCCATAGGGAGCACCACCGAAGGCCCAAGAGGCAGGGTTCGCATGCGGTTCCCTACCCACCGCATGTGCATTTCGGCACACCTTTCACGCTTCGTGGCCCCCTTGGGAGCTTCACCTAAGGCCCAAGAGGCAGGGTTCACATGCGGCTCCCCGCCCACCGCATGTGCTTCGGCATACCCCCCAAGCACGTTTCGTGGCCTCCTAGGGAGCTCTGTTGAAGGCCCCAGGGGCAGGGTTCACATGCGGCTCCCCGCCCACCGCATGTCCATTTCGGCACACCCCTCACCACCAAAGGGCCCAGCGGCAGGATTCGCATGCGGCTCGCCGCCCACCGCATGTGCATGTCGGCGCACCCCTCACACGTGTCGTGGCCCTACAGAGCGCTCCACCGAAGACCCCAGTGTTAGGGTTCGCATGCGGCGTCCAGCCCTACGAATGTCCATTTCAGCACACCCCTCCATTTCGGCACGCCTCCTCACCTAGGTCATCACGTCTGAGGCGTTCTGGCCCCGAAGGCTTATCCCATTAGCGTTGACCGAGATGCAGCCACCCCCGTCCACAGATGATTGGGAGCACACATTGATAACTTGCATTCAACAGGGCAATGCATTTTGAACCGCATCAGATGTTTGGAGATGTCAGTGGAAAAGAGCACTCAGCATGCGTCCACATGTTGTCTGGCAGGTGTGGTCATCGCCTGCGCAATCAACCCAGATCCTGACTTCGATCGAAAGTCGAGCATCCACCTCAGGTCTTTTGCCAGGATAGCGCCAGTTTGTTCTCAGGGGCGAGCTTGTGGCAGTGTTTGTTTCGGGTCAGTGGGTAACGCAGCAGTGCCTGACATATGTGGCGATCTGCGATGTGTGGCCAGAATGATTAACATATCCTGAACTTGGGTGGCGAGGACGGCGAGGTGAGCCGCCTCTGAGAAATAGACAAGTCCGGGGTGTCCTGAATCGCGAGTGGCCCTGGGCCCACCCCGCCGTCGTGCCTGGGTCGTGGGCAGGAGGCCACGTGGGGCCCGTTGAGAGCCGCTTGGGAGGCTCCCGGGGCCTCCTGTGGGGGCATCTTATGAGGCGTTGGGGGTTCCTTGGGGAGCGCTTGTGGGCCTGCTGGCTGGCTCGTGGGCCATGCTGTGGTCAAGGGCTCTTAGTGTCAGTTCGAGTTCCCCCTCTCGGGCCCTTCTGGGGGTCTCCTGGCAACCTCTTGGCCTTGGGGCCTCCTGGGCCGCTGTGGACGGTCAGAACATCGAAACGCCAAAATCGCATAATGCATGCAACACCCTGAGGTTGTTCAGTGGCTTGGGCTTCTGGCTGGCCCCAACGGCCTCCCAGACCGCCCAAGAGGACCCTAGAAGAACCGCAGGACGGTTCCGTGGAGCCACCAGAGGAGTCCTAGGCATGCTGAAGCAGTTCTTGGAAGGCTCTGAAGGGACGTTGGAGTCGGTCTGGGCGGGTATAGCTACCAGGAGGCCCACCTGGCAGGCGTTTTGGAGCGCCCAAATGCGCATTGACACGCTCGAGAATTCGTGGACCGGGCATTTCTGAGCGTCTAACATCCTTTGGA